GGCCAAGCGACCTCTGGGGGCAACAGAGCTGGACCAACCTGCAGCATTCAAATCAGAGCTGACAACCGGCTTCTACCTACGTGGCAGGGCCTCCAGGACATGTGCAGGACACAGTGTAAGGTGTTTGGCTGGTCCCCTAAAAATGCAGGCTGTGAGTGACAGCTGTAGGGTCTGAAGGATATGGGTTCGAATCCAAGCTTCACCATTGTACTGGTGGTTGACTACGGACAAAATCATTCACCCCCCTCTAAGGCCAGTTTGCACATCTGTAAGGTGGGGGTGATTACAGCCTACTTCCCAGGTCTTACGAGTGCATTTAATCGGAAGGTGTATTTATAGGATATGTCCGGCGCAATACCTGATCAAGAGTGAAAACTTAACAAAGGCCTTGGTTACTATTAGCAACATCTTCAGTGGGGGAGGCTGCCTGAAAACAAAGGGACTAGCTTGTTCCTCTGCCACCAAAACTGAGATTTAGCATCAACATCGTCTTTAGTTTATTTCTTGACACTGTCTGCCTCGGGGCCCCTCTAATCTGTTGCCCCACTGTCAGTGATCACCAGGAAAAGCCGGTATTGCTTTCCTTGGTGATCACACTCAGCTTTATGGCCATCACTTCACTGCAGGGTGGGGGCAGGGCCTGCGTGGACGCTGTGTTGTCCAGCGCGGAGGCACGTCTGCGAGGCACGTCCGAGACGCGGGATGGGAGAATGGAGTGAAGCCCAGCTAGGGCTCAGCTCGGTTGCCTCCCAAAGGAGGGGTCTCTTCCATCTGCACAAAGATTCACTTGGCCGGACCCACGCCCTGAGTTTAGAAGGAAAGGTTCTCTGTCCTCAGATTGTTAGTTCTGGGAATCTCCCATCTGTTGGCTGTTCGCCAGAGTCCTTCTCACTGTCAGATGATGAACGCCACTGTCAACACTCACCGCTTTCAGAACCTTCTCTTCCAGTCTCCACCCTCCCCACTCCAGCCCACCTTTGTGCTTTTACACGCGTACCCATCTAGCTTACCTCCTCTACTACGCCATCATCCAGGTCAGCGTTTCTCAGACCATTCTGACCTCAACCTGAAGCTGAAAACGTCTTACAGCATGACCCACAGACATGGATAAACAAATAGTCTCAACAAAGAGTTCCTGAAATCACAGCTGCCTTACGATGTACTCCGATAAACACTATTTCCTTTTGCGAACATGCTTGTGTTGACCCACTAAGTTGATTTCACCTTCGTTGTGCTCTTGACCGGCACTTTGAAAATCGCTGCTAGGATTTAGATGCATAAATGAGGTCCTCAGACGCCTTTCCAGGAGCAGCAGCACTTGGAGTTCATTAGAGATGCAGAATCCCAGGCCCCACCCAGGACCTACTGAACTCAGGAGATTCACAAGCACATTCAGATTTGAAAAGCCCTGCTCTAGGAGCCAGGACGCCACAGTTGTTAGAATCATATCTATCGAAATAAGTGCCCAGGACTCCACTGGAAGTGAAGGCCGGGAGCTTGAGCAGGGCCATGAACGCTCTGGACGCTCCCCAGGCCCTTTGCCCTCGCTCACCCTGCCAGAGCTGTAGAGCAGGGCTGCCCCTCGGCCCCGCCTGAAAATTGGAGGTGGCGCTCAAGTCTCTTCTTGTGGCTTAACCAGAGCTAGGAGCTTTGAAAGTCAATGTCAAAATACAAAGATGTCTCAATCCCTCTACATCTGAGACTGGGGAAGTCCACAGAGCTTTTTTCCAGGGATAAGCTCCTGGAAAACGAAGAGACCCCAGACCAGGAACTACGAGCCCTGGGTTGGGGCCCCGTCTGACATTTGGCTTTGAAGATGACTCTTGTCTCGAGGAGTCTCAGTTTCTCTGTCATTGAGTGAGGCTATAATGGTGATCACATCTAAACCGCCTCCTCTCAAAATCCCCTGAGTTGTCCCTTCAAGTGGCATCACCTCCTCCCCCCTGTGACCTCAGCCTGGTCCTGGAAGTGGTCAAAGGGCTGGCACTGGCTTCCTGGCTCCAGGCTCCACCTGCCCCGCCCCGCCTCAGGCAGATCTTCTCTCTCTCTACTTGCACAGACAGACACATAGTCACGAACCCCAGCCCTCCTCCCAGCCCACCTCCTGTCACGTCACTTGACATCACAGTCGTCCTCAGAGTGCACTTCCCACTGCCTACTGCCCCTCTTGTCAGGCAAATAAACACAGACAGGGAGCCCGATGGGGCCCTAGCTGGTCTGCCGCGCTGGTGCTGACTCACAAATCTAAATCAGATTTGTTCTGTTTGTTCACCTTCCTGCTGAGGCACATCAGCCCTGATGATTAGAACGGAAGCTGGAGGTGGAGGAGGGAATGGGGTGGGGGAATAAATGTCAGAGAGATGCCCAGCAAGGGAAACCCAATTTCCGGCAATGCAAGAATCGGGCCAACACTGCCCCAGCCATCCGAAAGGTCAAACCCTGATAAGATGTCAGCAGTTTGCTTCTTTGGGATGTTGTTGACAGGAAAATGAGTCATTTAGTGTCCTCTATCTTTTAAGACTGTTAGATATTTGCTAAAGGCCAGAACTGTGTTGCCTGAATATTTGTAGAAGTAATTATGAGTCACAGAATCCACTATGAGAAATGCAGAAGATGCTGCTGGTGCCCCACCCAAGGCCCTTGGCCCTCCCCGCTACACTGTGAGTGCGGCCAGACGCTGCCCTTGACTCTGCTCCCGACTCAGCCAGTGAACAGGGCAGCTTGGAGAGCTGGGGACTCCATACCCCTGGAAGTAGCCATCATCGCATCAGGATGAGAAATGGGTGGATAAAGACCCAGCTTCCTTACCCCTGGGCTGGGATAACTCAGGGTGTGTTCTCACTGTCCCCGAGAGGTCCCCATTGGGACTGAGCTCCGGTTGCCCACAGAGCTAACTGGCCTGAGAGAACACTCTTCTGATTTCCTTATCTCCTCTGTGGAGTATTTCAGGGTCTGCTTCTGGAGAGATCTAACCCAAGGCAACAGGACCAGTACCTTAGGAGCTGTAGTAGGTCACATGACCCTGTGGTCTGAGCTGCGTGCATAACCAGGGAACGGGCTGGCCCAAGAGGGGAGGAAATTTCTATCACTAGAAATGTGCATAAAGGGGGCCCCCCAAAAGGGGGCTTCCAAAAATGAAAAGGCTCTCATAGTTGTATTCACCGAGGTGGTGACTTAAGTTCCAGGCCCCCACTTCTGCCCCCTCTCACCCAGGAGCCTTGAGCTAGGCACAAAACAGGAGGCAGGAGGCTGAAAAGTACTTGACCTTGGGCAGAACAAATCTCCTGGGTCTTGGTTTCCTCATTTGGAACATGAGGGAGTTACCTGAGGTGACATCTGGGGTCTCTACCAGCTTTGACATCCTGGGATTTCAACTGAACCAGTTGAGGGAGTGGTCTTTGAATGAGGTGGGGGCCTTGGGGGACAATCCAGAGGGCCCTGTGGGACCTGCAGAGAAGCCCCTCCCTCTCTGAGGCTCAGTGTCCTCAGCCACCGTGAGGGGACTGGATTAGATAACCTCTAAAGTTCTGTTCAGCAGCAACACCCAGGGTCTTCAGGTCTGTCCCCAAGGTCCTGTTTTTCCTCATCACCATGGCCTGGGCTGGGAATGGAGCCCAAATCCTACCCTCTATGTAACCGTTGCCAAATGTCTCCCTGGAGCATCCCTGAGCCCCAAGCTACAGGCCAGGGCTGGCATCTGGACAAAATGAAACAATAGAGGTTCCTGACAGAAGAGCTCCCGCCCTTCTCCCCACTTCCCTCTTCGCTGCTGGGAGCCTCCCCCACACTCGGGGGTTTGCTCCTGTCCACGTATGCATGTCTTGGTCTCCACCTTCCCTCAGATCGTGGAAGGACAGGCCCTGTCCCCCATTCGAAAAATGCCAGGCAGCAGAGAACAGAGGCAGAGGGGGCAGCAGGGTCTTCCCAAGGTCGGTGAAGTCCCCACCCTACGTTCTGCCCAGTCTTGTCAGCACCTCAGAAAGCACTTTGTGGCCAGGAAATCAGAAGGCGTGACAGCGATGGAGCAGCGTTCCAGCCGAGGGCCAGCCGAGCAGGAAGTGGGCCCGGTGCTTTACAACCCGGGCCAGACGTGCCTTCCCACAGCCGCCCAGACCCGCACCCAGTCAAAGATCCCGCCCGCCCCTCAGCTAGCAGCCTAGCCCAGGATTCCCAGGTTTTAGGAAGTGCATTTAAAAATCTCTTAGAAGATTATCAGCAGGACCAAGGCTTAGCCTTAATGTGGAGAGCCTGTGTGATCCTCAGCACGTCACTCAGCTTTGCCATTTGAAACACCCTGTCCATAGTTATGGGTTTCCTCAGGCAGGACCATTATTTAGAAAATGGAATGAAGGGATGTGGCCATTATATTTCCTGCGGTTATTTTAGGGTGGAATTTTTTGTTTGTTTGATTGGTTGGGTTTTTTTAAAATTGTTTTACAACCTACATTCTTTTCTAAATTTTTTTTCCATCACCATTTATGCCCCTATACACTCTTCCACCTCTACCCTGACCCCAATCACCACAATTTTGGGGGGGAGTTGATTATCTTCTATACATTCTTCTTATGCTTCTCTGTCATTTCCCAACTTTTGACAATAAGAAGCACATGCTACATTTGTAACAATAAAAAGTAGACATAATTATTTAAAAGAGAGTTCTACATACATCTGACTGTTTGCTGTGTAGCCCCTCACTGGCTTCCTCACTGGCCATGTTCCCACCTCTTGGCCTTTACGTTGGAAGGGGTCCCACTGCTCATCGGACCCCAGCCCTCATCTCCCCAGTGAGCGGACGGGCGCCTCCCGCTTGGTCATGCACCTGTATTCTCTGCCAGGAGAATCCCCATTTACCTCCTCTGACTTCCTCACCACGGAGCAGTTAAAGAAAACCCAGCAAAGAAATAGCAAATGGAAGGACGTTAAACCCTTGAACAAGGAAAGTTTATGCATCACACTTATGACCTTTAAAAACATCGCCCTTTCTCCTCCCCTCTACTCACGGAGTCTTCCTGGCAGCTTGCAGATCCCTCCCTCACCCGGCACGTCCACCTGAGCTTCGGGTCTGGCTTGGGCCTCGTTGCCTGGAGGTGGGGTGGCTGCCAGGGGGCTCACAGGAGAACCGGCCACTGCTCCCTCCTAGACAAGAAAAACCAGGGCGTCAAAGGTGAGCATCTTGGTGTAGGCTCAGTCATCCTTAAAGGTATTAAGAATTTTTTTCCAGAGGAAAGAGCATCTATCCCCATGTCTGCCATAGAAGTAGGAACCGTGTGTGTCTTCAGCTTGATACCATTGACATCTTGTACCGAGTGGGCACTTGACAAATTCCATCTTTCCCAGTCAAGCTTTCAGGCGGGTGCCTTAGCCCATCAGAAGGCTGCCCTGCCAAGACTGGACTTGTAAGCTGGAGATCTGAGGCCCTAGTGATACTCAGTGGGAACCTGAGGGGCCAGGATAAAAAAAACCTTAAATCAGACTTAAATGATTAAAAGGTGTTTTCAAAGGAGAAAAAGAAAAGATAAAGTTCTGAGCCCCCAAGTCCCACGATCAGCTTAGCCCACAGAGCTCACTGGGCAGGATGCCAGAAGTGGCAGGATTTGGCAGCAACAGCAGGACCCTGGGGACTCACTCCCAGTCACAGGCTGCCACATTGCAAAAAGTGAAAGTGAAACCGGTCCCAGCCAGAGTCCTTTGCTCACTCTAGGATCTTCAAGAGTGTGACACTCATCTCTTGGCGCCTGAGGAGGGCAATCTGCAGTGAAAGACTGCCAAGTGAAAGATCGCAGTAAAGGCCAGCAAAGCAAACCCCAGAAGCCTTGGTCGCTGCAGGAGAGGATTCCACACCTTTCGGGGTAGTTCCCACTTTGTTTCTGGCTGCTCCCCACCCTGCCCCACTTGGCGCTGTTTCCCAGGTAACCCAGCTTCAGAGGCAGTGGGGGGCTTGCCAAGCTGGAGGAGGGGCTCGAGGCCGAGGACTGGCTCAGGACTTCCAGGAAGATCCCAGCCTTCTCCACCCTCTTCCAAGCAAGAGGAAGGGGCGTCCCAGGGCTGGGACTGCCTGCCTGGGAAAGGCCAGCAGGGAGCTGTGCGCTGGAGCTCTGGGTTTCTGCATGAAAGCTAGGGAGGAGTGCGATAAAATACATATGGATATGGATCTTGGGGAGACCGAGGTACGGAAAGGCCTTGGGCCAGGGATGGGGGGTGCGGGCAGGTTCCCAGGGAAATATGGCAAATGGAGAGGGATTGCTAAGGAGAAGGGCTCTTACGTGGTGGCTGTGTGTGCCAGCCGTGAGGGTCTGGCTTGTTCAGAAACTTCCAGGGACTTCGCATCTGGTTGATGTAGAGGTGAGGAGGACAGAAAGCCCAGCACACAGGGATTTCAAAAAGAGAGTGAGGGGCTGGAGGTGAGTGGGAGGAGAGGAGCCAGGGGCGCTAAGAGATGGATGGTGAAGCTGGGGGAAGTGCTGGAAAGTGAGATCCGAGCCAGGAAAAGAAAGTCCGATACAATGAGTATGGAAAATGAGGTGGCGGAGAAGGGATGGGGGCAGGTGGCTGCTGTCTCTTACCTGCATTACAGGTGGAGGTGAGGGAGCCACCCAGCTGTCCGCCGTGAGCGCTCCGAAGCCTGCCGCTGCTGGGTCCTAGACCAGCGCTTCCAGACCCTCCCTTCCCAAACGCCTAACTCGGCCCGGAAAACCGAAATTTCTCCTGGGAGCAATCTCTTCCGACAAGTGCGGACTAGCGTGCGCTCTGTCCCCCAGACGAGCAGGCGTGCAGGGCGCTCCGGTAATCGCTATCCTTCCGGGAAACGAAAACGAAAGAGCGGGATCCGGCTTCCACTCCCACCCCGACGGGTTTGTGGGAGGGCAGGGGCCGGCCCCTGCAGGAGCGGGGCCGCGGGGCGCTGTGGCTCACCTCCTCCCACCCGGTGGACAGCTCCTCCGGCAGCCTGGCCCTGGCTTCCAGGGAGATGAAGGTGGGATTCTACCGGAGCCTAGGGAACTCCTGGTCCAGGCAGGGCGCAGGACCACGACAGACCAACCTCATGCCGCCTTTGTGCGTCTCTGCAGATGGATAGGAGGGGCCCCCCCTCACGCTGTCCATCTGGGCCAGCTGCCTGCCCTTAGGGGTGGGTGACCTTTGTCCACATGCCATTTGGCTGGGTGGAGGCCCCAAGGCCCTGAGCCTGGGAGCCCCCAACAGCGCCGGCGTGGTGCTCCTCTTGACCTGGACCCTGGTGCTCAGTGATCCCCACTGGCACCTCTGCCGGGCCCCTGGCTGCCCAGGCCTGGTGCTCAGCTGCCCATCACCGTGTGCACCTGCCTCAGCTCCCTCTGTCTTCATAGGAACCCGAGTGAGGCTGTAAGCACTAAACCGACATAGCCACAGAAGAATGGGGGGGGGGGGAGCCCTAATAACCTTCCACAGAAAGGTTGAGGGTGTAGCTACTGTTATTAATATAAAGAAGGCTTAGCACCGATATATCATGAGCTCCTAAAAGCCAATAAGAACAAGGCCAGAAGTGCAACAGAAAAATGAGCAAAGGATATAAATAGGCAGTCCTCATAAAACAAAATGCCCAGTGGTCTCTACACTTAGAAAAAGAGGCTTAGATTCATTATTGTAAAAGCCGTGCAAATCAAAGTTACTCTGAGGTATAATTTTTTACCCATTAACTTAACAAAAATCCAAAAGTTTAGTAACCTAATCTGTTGGAGAGGCAGAGAGCACTTCACTGGACGGAGGAAGTGGTGTGACCACGTGGGGGCAGCACTGTCAGGATGGAGCAAAGTTACAAAAGCGTTCACGCTTCATCCAGCATTACTGCCAATAGTAGTATTACACATTATCTTTTGTGTGTGTATACATATTTGCACAAAGACACTTCTGGTAGGATGTGTAATAAATGACATAGTTGGGATTTAAGATAGAAAATAAGAGTAAGAGTTTTTGTTGCAAATTTTTTAATAATTGTTTTGATGTCATATGATTAAATACCTATTCAAAAGGAAGATGGGGGAGAGGAGAGAGAGAGAGAGGGAAGGAAGGAAGGAAGGAAGGAAGGAAGGAAGGAAGGAAGGAAGGAAGGAAGGAAGGAAGGAAGGAAGGAAGAAAGAAAGAAAGAAAGAAAGAAAGAAAGAAAGAAAGAAAGAAAGAAGGAAAGAAAGAAGGAAAGAAAGAAGGAAAGAAGGAAAGAAAGAAAGAGGCTCTGGTCAGGCAGCTCAGTTAGCTAGAGCACTGTCCCAATATTCCAAGGTTGCAAGTTTGATTCCCAGTCTGGGTACATACAAGAATCAACCAATGAATGCATTAATAAAGTCAATGTTTCTCTCCCTACCTCCATTTCTCTCTCAAATCAGTAAATTTTGCTTAAAATTTTTTTAAAAGAAAAAAAAAAGTTTTAAGGATCTGTTTCATGTCAGCAAGCCAAAACTTGGGAGGTGATGGAAATAAGGAGGTGTTGTGTGAGGCCAACTAAAGAAATGAGAATGTTTCCCTTTGGAAGGACAAAGGCGATGCTACACGCGCTGTAAGTCTATGAAATTGTGCACCCACGTGAGCAAGAGGAGGTGGAATCCCTCCTTCACAAAAGAAATATGCATAGGTTTTCATGCTCAGTAAAATAATGGTTTATTTTTAAATAACACTTTTCTCACAAAGAACTCAAACATATGTAGAATGTATAAATTATAACAACGAACTTTCTTAATACCTGCAATACGTCTACGAGCAGGGAGAGAGGGAATATGAGGCAGACAGGAAGGAAGAAGGAGGGGGCGCTGCGGGTCTGGACTGAGCACTGAGAGCGGGGCCAGCAGGTGCCTGGGAGGCGCCCAGGAGAACACACCCATTTCTGTGATCTCTGGTTTGAGGGTGAGGTTTCCCTTGAGCAAGGAAATGTTCGAGATTTCCTCACAAGGAGCAGTGAGACCATCCGCAGCACCTCCTAAGTGCACCTTGGGCTCTACCACCAGGCAACCACTGACACCTCAGAGCCAGTGCTCTGAGCAGACCGATGGACAGGGAGTCCACAGTTCTCTAAGGGACCAGGCAGAAACCAACAGTGGCGGGTAAAAAGAGAGGGAGACGGGGCAGGGTCTTCTTCCCATCTGTGCCGGTGGGATTCGTGTTTCTCAGAGGGTAGGAGGAAAACAGAACTTGGTGTGCGTTCCTTTCACATCAAATGGTGGTTCCAGAGAAAGTGCAGCAACGCGTGAGCGCCTCCGAAGAAAACTAGGACAAAACGAGCCAGTGCATCTCTGCCTTCCCATTGAAGATCCTGTTTGAAAAGAGAGAGACAATATTTTTTTAAAGGCAGTAGATTGATCCAAAGTGGAAATTCAGGACTAATTCAATCGATGCCCCCAAAACAAGCTTCCTGGGCTGCGTTATGAGCTGTCTGAGCTGAAGGGGAGCATCTCGGGCTGTTCAGTCACTCCCGCATCCTCTGCACTGCCTCGGGACGCTTTCCTCCAGATGTGTTTTCCCATCTCAACCGTCGGCAAATGGGGACCCTCTTTTCAGGGCTAATGACCACTTCCTCCCGCCTCCCCAAGGCACTTTCTTAGCCTTGTCAAAGAAGCAAGGAAGTTAGCTTTGGCATTGGAAGAACTGAGGAGACTTCGATGGGTGGAGAGGGGAGTGAACAGGAGCACAGTTGGAGGTGAGAAAGAGCACAGCAGGTTTGTGGAGCCATAAGTAAACCCCACTGTTTATATAGCAGCACCCAGAGAAGGAGCCTGAGGGTCCTTTGCCAAGGGCTCTCCGGGTCCCTGCCCCTCCTCCTACAGTCTGTTCTCAACACGCAGCCTCAGAAGACTTGCAGCGCGGCTCCCTCAGCTCACTGCTCCCCAGTGGCTCAGCCTCACTCAGAAGAAAAGTCCTCATGGTGATCTGAAGGCGCTGCCTGATCTACCGCCAACCTGCCTGTCTGCCCCCATCTTTTACTACCTTCTCCCTTACTCAGCTTTGGCCACGCTGGCCTCCTGGCTGTTCCTCAAACCTGCCTGTCTCCACTGCTTTCCCCAGAAATCCCCGACTCCCTCCCATGCTGTGTCAGGGTTTTTGCTCAGAAGCCACCTTCTCAGCGGACAAAGGCATCCCTTAAACCCCTCTGCTCAAAATTGCAAATCCGCAACCTTCCTCATCCCTTTCCGTGCTTCATTTTTCTCCAAAATATTTATGATTGCCTCATAAATTATATACTTATTTATTCATATATTACTTGTCTCCCTATTAGAATATGAACTTCATGCGATCAGGAGTTTTGTCCCTTTTGTCATGCCAGGGACTCAGTAAACTCTAGCCCAATAAACGAATGAATGATGAATCATTAGCAGCAGGTTCAGGGATTTAGATCTTGTCTTGTCAGTAACTGGGAATCACTAAAGGATTTTTTTTTCCTTTTATAACTGATATCAGTTAGGAACACTGAATGCATTTGCCTCCAGCAAGGCAGACAAGAAAGTGAGCTGGAGTCAGATGCTCGTAAACCGCAGTGTATATCCAGGAGCACATTTAAACTCCAATTTTGTCACTTAGCTGCTGAGTAACCTGGGACAGGTCACCGAATCTCTCTGAACCTCAACCGCTTGTCCTGAAATACCTGTACCACTAATCGATAGAGTTATTGGGAGAATTAAATTAAAGGGAAAGTTCTGTGTTGAGAGTGTTTTCAAAAAGTACCTGGAAGAAATTATTTAGTAAACATTAGTTTCCCTCCCCTCTTTCTAACAAACTAAGAAGTTCCCTATGTGTTGCTGTATTAGTCAGGGTCCCAAAGAAAACAGATGGCACACTCAAATTAGGGAAATTCAGGGAGGTCCGATAAAGGGACTATCTACAAAGAGGGGAGGGGACCACAGGGGTGGCACAATGCCCAGGGAGGGTGACCACACAACTGTTGCCACTCCTAGCCCTACAGAGACAGGAAGGGGGCAGGTTCTGCAACCCAAAAGGAAAGAGTCCTTCCTGCAGAGAAAACTTCCAAAAACACATTTAAGATCCTGAAAGTGATGGGGAGATTATTATAAAACATACTTATATCTAGGAAAATGACATGCCCTGGATTTTTTTTAAAAGATGAGGTCCTTGAATCAAAACCCTATATAACTAAATAGCAAAACAGAAACTATTTTGAGAATCAGGCCTATTTGAAAAAACAGAATCCTTGCTTAAGTGAAGAGAACCAGAAAGGAGATGCGTGGCAGCTCAAGGGCGATTGGTTCAGCAAACAAAACCACGACCCGGTGAGCCTCTTGTGAGGGTGGCTCGAGAGCAAAACTAAAAGTTCCCCTAAATGTATCAAAAGCAGGGAGGGACCTGGAGAATCAGTGTGGCCACTTGCTGAAACAGAGTTCAAAGAGTGACTAAACAATGACTCTGCAGGAAAGACGTGCACCATGCCGGATCTGAAATTCTGTTAGAGCTGCTCGACTTAAGCCTTGAAGCAGCAGAGTAAAGCTTTCAGCATTTTAGAGCCAGACTTAGGAGAAACTTCTAAAATTATTTTTTAAGTATGATGTGGTCTATTTAAAAATGTTCTAAAGGGCAATTCTGTGGAACTGGACAAGATACCTTTAAAAGTCTAGGTCAGCCCTGGCTGGTGTAGCTCAGTGAATTGAGCGTGGGCCTGCGAACCAAAGGATTGTGGCTTGATTCCCAGTCAGGGCACATGCCTGGGTTGCAGGCCAGTTCCCAGAAGGGGACGCATGAGAGGCAACCATATATTGATATTTCTCTCCCTCTCTCCTTCCCTTCCCTTCCCCTCTAAAGATAAATAAATAAAATCTTAAAAATTAAAAAAAAAAGTCTAGGTCAAAGCCAGCTTTATAAAATGCTGCAAGAAGCAGCAGGGCAGGCATGAGGACAGACACGTAGATCGATGCCACAGAACTGAGTCCAGAAGGGAACTCTCACACCTACAGTCCATTGAGCTTTGCCAGGGAAAGAACAGTCTTTTCAATGAATGGTGCTGGGACAACTGGAAACACACATGCAAAGACTGAAGGTGGACTTTTAACTCGTATCACATACAAAAGTTAACTCCAAATAGATCAAAGACCTAACTTCAAGAGCTGAAACAACAGGTCTCTCAGATGGAAACGTAAGTATAAACCTTCATGCCTTTGGGTGAGGTAATGATTTCTCTTGCATATGACACCAAAAGCACTAGAAACAGAAGAAAAAAGAAATTGAACTTCATCAAATGAAAACCTTTTGTGCCTCAAGGAATACCATCTAGAACGTGAAAAGATAACAATGGAAGACAGTATTTGCAAATGATGTTTCCAATAAGGAACTTACATCAGGAATATATAAAGAACTCTTACAACTCAGTAGTAGAAGACTTTTAAATGGGCAAAAGACCCGAATAAACATTCTCCAAAGACATGCACAAATGACCAAGAAGCACATGAAAAGATGCGCATTAGCCGTCCTGGAAGCGCACATCGACACTGCAAGGAGATGCCCCCTGAACTCACTGGGCTGGCTCTGATCAAACAGACGGTGAGTAGCAAGTGTTGACAAGAATGTGGAGAGACTGGAACCTCGCTTGCTGCTGCCGGGGAGGGAGAGCAGGCCGGCCACTTTGGAAACCAGTCTGGGTGTTCCTCCAAAAGTCAAACACAGGGTTCTCACATAACACAGTAAATTCCATGCCCAGGAATGTACCCAAAAGAACTGAAAATGTATTCTAGACAAAAACATGTATACAAACGCTCATAGCAAAGTGTAAACAACCCAAACGTCCATCGACTGATGAATAAATGTGAAATGTACATACGATAGGATGTTATTGAGCAATAAAAAGAAATGAAGTACAGACATGTGCTACAACATAAATGAACTTTGAAAAACATTATGTTGCTCTGACTGGTGTGGCTCAGTTGGCTGGGTGTCATTCCACAGAGTGAAAGGCTGCTAGTTCAATTCCCTATCAGGGCGCATGCCTGGGTTTCAGGTTCTGTCCCCGAACGGGCATGTGTGAGAGGCCATCAATCGATGTTTCTCTCCCTCTCTTCCTCTCTAAAAATAACTTAGAAAAGTAAAACAGTATGCTAAGTGAAAGAAGCCATTTTCAAAAGGCTGCATATTGTGTGATTCCACTTATATGGAATGTCCAGAACAGGCAAACCCACAGGAAGTAGAGACAGGAAGTAGAGACAGGAAGTAGAGACAGGAAGTGGACTGGTGAGGCTGGAGGGGAAAGGCGGGAAGTGAGCAGTGACTGTGATTGGGTTTGGGGTTTCTTTCTGGGGTGATAAAAATGTCATAACGTTGATTGTGCTGATGGTTATACAACTCTGTGAATACACTAAAATCATTAATTGTACACTTTAAACGGGTGAATTGTATGCAAATTTTATTTCTCAATGAAATTATTTTTTTAAAAAAGAAAGAAAAGCTGATACCATTCATCGTGGATTTATTCAGCTGCAGGGATTAATTTAAGGCTTAGAAGTAAATTACGACTTTAGAAGACAAAGGAAAGGAGGCAAGTGATCGAGGACGTTACATGGGGCGGCGGCCTCTCGATCGAGTTGGGTCAGACGGAGAACAGTGTTGTGGTTTGTCCTACTCCGGCCTCTCCTTTTCAGAGAAAAATATTAGCCAGACCCATAGATATTCAGAATTAGCTGATCAAGCAACAGGAAAGTTGAACTCAGAATTTCCTGGGATGAAAAGTGAAAACTTCCCTACAGAAGAAATTAGCCTAGGAGGGAGATGCTAAATATGAGTATGCTGTAAGAAATGATCATAGCAAAGAGATATTCAACTCCAAATATTGAAAGGGCAAAGACAAAAGTATTGATTTTTTGTTGTTGTTTAGCTAACAGTTATTGATCCTCTTCTGTGGGTCAAGCTCTGTTCTGAGTGATTTATGTAGATTGTCTCCTTGAACTTTCGTAACAGCCATGTAAGGAAGGTACTGTTATTACCTCCATGTTACAGATGAGAGCCAGGGTTAAGTAACTTGCTCAAGTTCACACAGTAAATAGTGGGGAGTCAGACTTTGGGTCCAATACTAGGGCCCTAAAAGCAGCACATTGAACCCCTCCCATCACAGCTGAAGATTCAGGGAGCGGCAAGTCCTGTGGAAGTATGTCTTCCACGTAGGTGAAGATTCTGGTGTAGACTCAGATGTGGTTGTTCATTGAGGCCAGAAGGTGTGGCTTTCAGGTGAGGTCTCTGAAAGGGGTCCTGTACAGAAAATTTATCCAGGTAGGAAGGCACACCCACCTCCCTCTGGGGCTCGGGCTCTTGGGGTGCCCCCAGGAGAAAGAGTCAAAGAGTGGACAGTATTGGAGCTGTGTGTGTTTTGGAACCAGCGGACATGGGTTCGGGTCCTAATTTCGAAACCTACCAGCTGTGTGATTTAGGAGAAGTTACTTGACTTCTCCAAGTCATCAGTTTCCTCATTTGAAATGCGAGAACAGTCATAGTCCCAGCTTCACTGTTGGTTGTAAGAATTAAATAAAATAACGCAAGTGAAACCCTTAGCATGGCCCTTAGCAAACAGCAAGCCCTCACTAAGCACTAGCTGTTATTACATAGCTTTTAGTTTATCCTCCAAATAGAGTTGGGCTGGGAGCGAGGTCATTACTGACCTTGTGAGCCCAGGGAGAGAGCAACACTTAATAATCCAAATTCTTATCTCGCGCTTCAGTGTCTCCTCTAACTCCAGTCTGGTCCTTACGACTCAGCTTCACGTCACCTCAGTCTGTGTATCTAATAGGAACTTCAGACTTGCATTTCCCAGACCGAACTCTGTATTTCCCCCAACTCTGTTCTTCGGTTTTCTCCATCTCAGTAAACGGCACTACCATCCATTCAGATGCTCAGGCCAAAACCACTGAGTCAGCGTAGTCTTTTTCTGTCACTCAGCACATCCAGTTCATTAGCCAATCCTGCAGGCTCTACTTTTAAAATTCATCCTGAATCTGATCATTTCCTACCACCTCCACGGCTACACGCTGGTCTCAGCCTTTGGGAGGGTCTCCTGTGTCCCCAGCCCTGCATACAGCCTACTCTCTGCACCACGCCAGTCTCCATCTAAGTGTATGTCAGTCCCTGACACTCTCCTGCTCCAGATGTTTCCTTATATTTAGCATAAAACCTGAACACCTACCACTGCCTCTAAGACCAAGGCCAACTCCCAGAACTTACCTCCCTCCACTCCATCCATTCCGGCCTCCTTGCTGTTCCTTGAGCCTGTCCCTGTAACAAGGGTTTTGTGTTCGCTGTTCCCTCTGCCTAGCACACTTCCCCTCACGTATTTCATGCCGGGCTCCCTCACTTCCAGCGTCCGCTCAAATACCACCTCCCCAAGAGACATCACCTTCTCCGATCGCCCCTCTAAAATCCGTCTCCATCACTCAGTAGCTTCTAATGCTGCTTGAGTCCAGTCTGACCAGATCGTTTATCAGTTCATCTGCTGCGCTATCTGTTCTCCCTCCTTGACTTTGACATCTAGGAGAGTAGCCTCATCGTCTGTCCTGCTCTCTCCTCCAGCACCAATGGCTGGAACTGAGCCTGCCACAGAGCAGTAAGTATTGTTCTAAAGAAATTGGTCTGTGAAAAGTTTGATTTGATTGTGTATTTATTTTGTCTTTGTTTCCTTCTTGCTTTCAGTAGTGTTTTTGGGACCTGCCATTCATGTTTTGTCTCAGGCAATGTTTCACTTGAGGGAAAGGCTGCTTACTGTCCACATTTGGGCCAGAACGTGAAAGAAGACGTGGCACTTCCTGAAGCCAGTGCGGTGGCTGCAGCAGTGATGAGCCAGACGTTGTCGGGGAGAGGCAAGTGAAAGGGCAAGAGGTTGGGCCCTGAGGGGCAGCTACCCGTCCCGGCACCCTGCCCCACGTGATCATTCTCTCTCTGCTGCCGACTACAGCTTGCTCTGAGGAAAACTAAGTTGGCTACAGATTTCATCACCCCTAACGTTTCAAGTAGTAATCGTTATTGTTTCCTGTTTTCCCTTGTTATCTCTTATCATAATCAGGAGAAACTCAGAGATCAGGCCATGGGCTCAGGCTATGCCTAGTTGGTCGGGAGGATTACCACAGTCAAAGGCACAGGTTGTCCTCCTTGGCTGAGCATCCGATTCACCCAGGAAGCTTGTAAAGTGCCTGATGCCCAGGCCACCCTTCATGCCAGTCAAATCAGAACCTCTCAAGGCAGGGCCCAGGCATCTGTAATTCTTAAAAATCCACAGGTAATTCTCATAGGCATCCCAGCTTAAGGGTGTGGAGCGAAGTCTCACACTTTAATGTGTGCACAGACCCTCTGGGGTGTGTGTAAAGAGGTACAAGATTGTGATTCCAGTGTCATGGATAGGGATTCTGCACACCTGATTGGCTGCTAAGTGATTCTGAGGCTCCTAGCCCATGGGCCACAGTCTGAGTGGCAAGCATGAGGTCAAATAGTGTCAGGTTCACAATTTTCAGAGCTAATATTTGGTGATCTGGACATCACTGATCCATGTGTTCTGCTAATTCCTGGGCATCCCAGCCACTTAGCAGCCATTGCTCTGTCTGCTGTTTCCCCTGCCTGCCAGGCCCTTGCTGGACATATAGAGGTCTCACCTCTGGAACCATCCTGTGGTCAATGCTGTCTCCAATGTTTTTCAGCTGCATGGCCAACTTGTGGATTATTTCCTCCTGGTGATGGTTCTGGCTGATGCTGTTTTCCTTGGGCTCAGAGGGAGAGTCATGATCTGGATTATAAAAGAGTTGGAGATACTCCATTAACCGTCTGTGAAGTTACTCACCACTAGTTACTAAAATCTGTCTTAGACAATGAGAGAATAAAAACCCATTATCATAATGGCTATAAAAAAAAGGCCTTGCTTTGGAATAGGTCAATTCTGTTCAATAGAAATATAGTTCAAGGTATGTACTAATTTTTAATATTCTAGCAATATAATTAGATCAAATTAATTAGTAATATATTTTACTTAAGCCAACGTATCCAAAGCATTATTACAACATATTATCAACATAAAATTATAACTTATATGTTTTGCGTTCTTTTTATTATACCTAAGTCTTCAAAATCTAATGTTGGTCTTATGCCACATCTCAATTCAGAAGCTAACTTTTCATTGGAAAACCCTGACCTGTATTTAGTTTTCACAAAGTTTATGTTTTAAGAAGTAGATTCATATTCAAGTTGTCCCAAATGTACTTGAAAGTTCTCCAAGAGCTAAAGTATCTGTTTTTATTTTTATTTTTATAATTTTTTGAATTTTATAGGGGGGCTGGGGGTGCAGGGCTGCCTCAACTACCTAAGTATCTGTTTTTAAAGTTCATTAAAATTCAATAGAACTTGAAGTTCAGCTCTTTCACTGCACTGGCTGCATTTCAGGTGCTCAGAGACCTGCTGCGACCACCGGTCATTGTGTGGGATGGGTCTGGATCTCCACAGCTTTCCGAAGCTGATTTTTCCATTTTTTAAACCTACTATCCTTGAATGAGTTTTTCCAAATGCTATTTGCTTCCAGCAACCAGTGAGTGTTTTTAAGCAACACTATGGCTGAATTGCAGTTTTGGGTGCTTTGGGGGAACTCATAAAAAGTAAAAAGACACGGTTCCTGTCCTTAAGTTGCTCACAGCATGCTGGGCAGGGATGAAACAATGCCCAGGTGCTTTAAAAATTCAGAGAAGGAAATAAATTTGGACTAAAGTAGACACACATATTTAGGGTTTTTTTTTTTTTCTTTGGGGGTTTGGACATGGCTTCATAAGTACAGCAAGTTTTGCTTTGAACCTATTTGGTTCCAATAAAATTTGAGGACTTTGATTTTTCAGGTTTTATGCCAAGAAAACAAGCCCTGTCTTTGAAGAGGCTGGTGGGAAAGAGAGAAGAACTACAATTCAACATGTTACAGTAAAGACAGGGCCTGCACAGAGGCCAGGGAAGACACCCCAGTGAGGACGACAGTGCAGTCCAGTCCGGAAGGATGAAGGATAAATAAGAGTCAGCCTGGGGAGGAAGACCGAGATGGGGGCCAGAGCCAGCTGGGAGGGAGTGGCAAACAGAACTCTGCAGGCAGAAGGATCACGCGAGCAAAGGCATGGGGATGGCAGAGAGGTTTTGTGCACAAGCTCTAAGCGGTGTTGAAAAGCAGGGAGTAATGGGAAAACCAGTGGAGCAGGCGAGAGCAACGTCATGAAGGCACAGCCAGAGGCCTGGACGTTACCCAGCAGAGCAGGAGACCCAATGAAGGGTTTTAGGAAGGAAATGGTATGGTCAGATTTGCTTTCTGGCTATTTCCCTCTGGGATCAGAGTGGAGAATGGTGAGACAGGCAGGAAAACATTTAGAAGCTACTGCAAAGTCCTGAGGCGGGATAAGGAGCTGCCCGACGATAACTAACATGCTTACCACACGCCAGGCCATACATGCATTATTCTATTGACTACTCCCTCACAGTGACCCCCGCGAGGTCATTTTACCTCCATAGTACAGATGAGAGAGCTGTGGTTTAGAGAGTACTTTTCAGTCTCGGCTCCACCTTAGAGTCCTTGGCAGGAGTGGGCGCAGGGGTGCTTTTAAAACTCCCAGTGCACAAGCCTCACCCCATTCCAAGGAAATCATTTTCCTGGGAGTTGGACCAAGCATCAGTACTTTTTTTTTTAAAAGCTCTCCAGGTGGTTCCCATTTGCAGCCAAGTTTAAAGACAGTGGTTTATAAAATGTTTGAGTGGCTTGCCTGGGGATTGAAAGTCAATGAGTATGAGAGGCAGGACTTAAACCCAGGTCTGAAATAAAGCTGTACTAACAGGGGTGGAGTGGTGAGAACAGATTCTATAAATATTTAGGAAGCAGAATGTTCTGGAATTGGGTAATAGATTAGATGAGAAAGCTGAGGGAGAGGGAAACGCCTACTTTTCCAACCCTGCAGCCTGGAAGGGTGATGGCACCATAAGCCTGTGCAGAGAACAGGGGTCAGGGAAGGCCAGGCGTGGCAGGCGTGGAGATGGGTTGAAAGAGAAAAAAACAAAATGTGAGTTCACTCACAAATTTATGGTACCTGTAGGACATCTTAGCGGGCATCTGGGTAATATTTGAAGCTTGGGATGTCAGAATTTAAAGATTGAAAAGTCATTATTCATTTGTTTATTCAATAAAAATGCAGAAAAGTGAGTGAGATATTTCCGTTTGTATAGCTAAAGACAGAACTTCTGGATAAAGGTCACTGTAAACAAGGTAGGCAGGGAACAAACACCCACAAAAATGGCAGAGAGAATAGAAGGATAAAATGGAATCAGGAAAAATGGTGTTTCCTAACCGTCTTTCAAATCTTGTTGAAAGTTTTCTTCTAAAATGTGTAACCTTAGTGGACATTGTTACTTGGTTAACTACGGTATACAGAATATAACCGAGTGTGTGCCGCTGCTGCTGATCCGGAATCCCGCAACACACCCAAGGATCCCTGGATGGAGGATGCCAGTCCTTGTCTGACTTGCTTACACTCTTTTCCAAGAGAACCTGACCTGTTGCCTAAGCAACCCGTTTCTTCCCTACAGGGCCCCGCCCCACCCCCAGGCCACAGCTGAGTGGATCCGAGGTGGACACCTGACCCAAGAACCAATAATCCTTTTGGCTGGCTGGGTACTCAGAACCTACAGTCAATATGAAGCAGGCTCCCTTTCTCTCTGTTCAACGTCAGCTTCCTCTCAGTTCAATGAAGACTCAGGAAACTGAGAGAAGAGTTAACAGTGGGAGTAGGAATGCCACAGAATTATGTTGGGCTCAAAATAAATCAGTCATTTGCAACTGAAAATTATGAAGTCCAGAAGGAAACAGTTAAGAGAGAGGCAGGGGAAGCTGGCTAATAAAGAAGAATGAAGCAGAGTAGACACTCAGAAACCATGACTAAAAAAAAAAAAAAAAAAAAAAAAAAAAAAAAAGGAGGGCGGGGCGGGTGGTTAGCTCGCACAGCAGCCTCGGAGCCTGAACCCTCCAACTTCTTTTGCATATGCGTCCTCACCAGAAACTACAGCTTTCTGGGGTTAACTAGAATAGTTTTCTCTTCCCTGCAATGAGGCAAATAATCATAAATGCTACATTAGCTATTTTTGTCCAGAACTGTCCATCTCAATAAAATTGTGTAGGAGATTGTGTTGACTATAAATCAACTTCAGGAGAGGCTCTGAAAGTGAAATTTAAAAATTAAGTTCCTGCCCCAACTGGTGTGGCTCAGTGGATTGGGCATTGTCCCACAAACTGAAAGGTCGCCAGTTCAATTCCCAGTCAGGGCACATGCCAGGCTTATGGACCAGATCCGAAATTGAGATGTGAGAGGCAACCAACTGATGTTTCTCTCATACACCAATGTTTCTCTTCCTCTCTCCTTTCTTTCCCCTCTCTCTAAAAAAATTAAAAATAAAAACAAAAATAAATAAATAAAGTCCTTTTTTAAAAAATTAAGTTCCTGATGCGAGTGTTTTCTATGTTTGGTTCTGGTCATTAATCCATTCTTAGTAAAAGTTGAATGCAAAATGGATCGAGCTCTCCTGTACTCAACCTATAGATGGAATTGTTTGCTGACTAAGGAGAGCTGGTGTATCTGTCCCACAGACATTTATACAATAAAATACCATATTTTGACATGTACAATGAGCACCCACATTCTTGCACATTATACATGGAATTATTATACCCATGGTATGTGATCATTATTACATCGGCAAGTGAAAATTATGAAGGGGAAGGAAACAGTTAAAAGAGAGGCAGGGAAGCTGGCTGATAGAGAAGATCGGAGCAGATGCTCAGAAACCAAGACTCAAAAAAAAAAAAAGGAGGGTGGGTGGTTAGCCCTCACAGCAGCCTTGGAACCTGAACCCTGCAAGTTCATGTTTGTAATCATTATTACATATCATATATAATGCACATCCTTATTTTTCCCTCAAAAATTTGGGCAAAAAAGTGAGCATTCTGCACAGCAAAATATGGTAGCTATGCCACCATATTGTAAGATGACAGGAAATAAAGCATTAAATCAAAATTCTAAAGTGATAATATTTGAAGTGAGAAGTCTTGCGATAAAAATCATTAAAATGAGTGAAATAAAAAAACAAAACTATTATTTTTCAAGTATTGAATTTTTAATATCTGAAGGAAAAAAGTATCTCGTTTTATGCTGGAAAGTTGTCTGAATGTGTACATATCCATGCAGAGTTCCAAAAATCAAACCGTAGTCTAAGTGGCCCAGTGGGGACCTTGGTCGTCCTTCTACAATCTTGACTGTGCTCCCTAGAAATAAAGGTCTAGGGGCTTCTGGTTCAAGACTGAGCACATTGGCCTCTCCATTTCTCCTAATCCCTCCCAAACACCACCAAATAGAAAACTATGAAAAAGAATAAAACCACAACAATGCAGAGAATGGAAAGCAAGGCCAACAGCAGATGAGAGATCTGTACATGTTTGTGAAAGGCACAAAGGAGATGAGACAAGACAGGAGCAAAGGAGCCAGGCAGAGAACCTACCACTGAGACTAGAAGCCCATAGAAGCCCATAAGACCCCGAGGCTGGAAGAAGGAGAGGCCACTGACTGGACGTCTGATGGGGAATCAAATGTAGCGCTTCCTGGCGCTGACATCGCAGCCCACTACACTCAGCACAGATATCAGTCACTGAATGAATCGATCAATAAAACCCAGACCACTGTTCTCTAATGGAAGACAGCAGATCTTATGGAGGGAGCTAAAGCT